GGACCCTGCATCAACTCCAATGTATCCCCAAGTTCGACTGCTGCAGCCCGCCCACTTCTTCCCGGCCACCAATCAGTGCTTTAGCCCGAGCCTGACCTTCACGATTCAGTCACCTTCAAGGGCACCGTGTGCCGAAAGATCACAACCGTAATTATACACCTTTACTCAATGACGAATTTAGGCCAGATTTGTGCACTCAACAGTCGTGTGCCGGGACCTGAACATCGCTCCATACCAAGTAATAATAATGATAAGTATTTCTCCAGGACATCATCAGTGAGTCGCAAGGCTCCTATTCAGGAGGTTCTTGCATTCATGCTGTTTGGCCGATTCAGGTTCCTCCCCAGTCCTGAGAGTTTGGCTTGGGGGTGGGGGGGTTGAAGGGTAACCGGGGAACTCGGAGTAAACCCACCACGCAAGCGAGGCGGTGACACTTCACGCTCCGCACAGCAAGCGGGTTCGTGAACCCGCTTGCTGTGCTGTCAAAATCGTTGCCACTTGGCAGCCCAGCAGCGGGTTTGTGAGTTATACAAATCTCGACGGGCACCATCGTGCGCAGCTCATTGTTGTCACCATCATCATCACTCTTCACTGCTGGATGATGCCCCACGCCAACACATGGGGGTTGTTGGCCATACTTCACCAGGTTGGTCAATGCAGGTTGGTGAAAAGGTGGGGGGGGGGGGGGAATGGTGGGGCTGGGGGAAGTCTTATGACCCTCGTAGTTCGCCGTGACCAGGAGTTGAACTCAAGTGGCTGGGTTTGGAGCGAAGTGCGTTAAACACCATCACTACCATCACCATCACTATCACCACCATCACTACCATCACTACCATCACTATCACCACCATCACTACTATCACCACCATCACTACCATCACCACCATCACTACCATCACCACCATCACCACCATCACTATCACCACCATCACTACCATCACCACCATCACTACCATCACCACCATCACCATCACTACCATCACTACCATCACCATCACTACTATCACCATCACTATCACCACCATCACTACCATCACCATCACTACCATCACCATCACTACCATCACCACCATCACCACCATCACTACCATCACCATCACTATCACCACCATCACTACCATCATCACCATCACTACCATCACCACTATCACCACCATCACTACCATCACCACCATCACTACCATCACCACCATCACCACCATCACTACCATCACCACCATCACCACCATCACCATCACTACCATCACTACCATCACTACCATCACCATCACTATCACCACCATCACTACCATCACTACCATCACCATCACTACCATCACCATCACTATCACCACTAACACTACCATCACTACCATCACCATCACTATCACCACCATCACTACCATCACCATCACTACCATCACCATCACTATCACCACCATCACTACCATCACCACCATCACTACCATCATCACCATCACTACCATCACCATCACTATCACCACCATCACTACCATCACCATCACTATCACCACCATCACTACCATTACCACCATCACTACCATCACTACCATCACCACCATCACTACCATCACCATCACCACCATCACCATCACTATCACCACCATCACTACCATCACCACCATCACCACCATCACTATCATCACCATCACTATCACCACCATCACTACCATCACCACCATCACTACCATCATCACCATCACTACCATCACCACCATCACCACCATCACTATCACCACCATCACTACCATCACCACCATCACTACCATCACCATCACTACCATCACTACCATCACTACCATCACCATCACTATCACCACCATCACTACCATCACCATCACCACCATCACTACCATCACCACCATCACTATCACCACCATCACTACCATCACCACCATCACTACCATCACCACCATCACTACCATCACCATCACTATCACCAAATAGACAAATATCCCCGTGTAGCCTTTAGCAGACTGTTGGGGCAAGTGCTGTGAGCGAGCACCACGTGAAAGCCGGTACGAGACACGAGGAGGTGGGTGGCCAGCACCACGCCCGACCGCCTTTATCTCTCCAGTGGACATTTATACATCGCACCAGGCACTCATTTGAGGCTGAGTTGATCTAGGGGAGGGCCAGGACCGGTTCAGATCAATAATCGTCACTGGTGTTGGCCGTGAGCGGGAAAATAACTTGGGTTGTCGGGTTCGTAGCGTAAAGCGCTCACGGCTGCGAAACCATTATCACTGCATTACCACCCTGACCACCACCACCATACACACCCATCCGTCTCCCACCATCACCTTCACCACCATCCTAATCATGTTAATTACACTTCCATCGCAAAAACGAAGCAGTCATTAACCCGTCGCAGCTCAAACGCGGCCAAACTGCCGCGGGGCGACATCGCCGCCGGGCGGCAAGGAGCGAGCAGCTGTGGCTGGGGACTCAGTCCCACTCACGCCGAGGGGGGGTGCGTCACACTGCCCCTCCCCCCACCAGTGTAATGCTTTGCAGATGTTCTCGTGGAGCCGCGGGAATTCCGTGCACGGGGAGAGGTGGAGGGGGAGCCGACAGTGAGCGGTTGGGGGTGAGTTGGGGGTAGGGTGGAGGGAGCAGGAGGCGGGGCCGGAGAGTAGCGGGCAGGGCACCTATCTCATTAATCTCCTTATTATTCGATTCATGCTCGCGAGCGGAGCGCTCCGTGGGCATCACTAGCTTCTCACACGTGGGTATCACTGGCTTCTCACACGTGGGTATCACTGGCTTCTCACACGTGGGTATCACTGGCTTCTCACACGTGGGTATCACTGGCTTCTCACACGTGGGCATCACTAGCTTCTCACACGTGGGTATCACTGGCTTCTCACACGTGGGCATCACTGTCTTCTCACACGTGGGTATCACTGGCTTCTCACACGTGGGTATCACTGGCTTCTCACACGTGGGTATCACTGGCTTCTCACACGTGGGCATCACTAGCTTCTCACACGTGGGTATCACTGGCTTCTCACACGTGGGCATCACTGTCTTCTCACACGTGGGTATCACTGGCTTCTCACACGTGGGTATCACTGGCTTCTCACACGTGGGTATCACTAGCTTCTCACACGTGGGTATCACTAGCTTCTCACACGTGGGTATAACTGGCTTCTCACACGTGGGTATCACTGGCTTCTCACACGTGGGTATCACTAGCTTCTCACACGTGGGTATCACTAGCTTCTCACACGTGGGTATCACTAGCTTCTCACACGTGGGTATCACTGGCTTCTCACACGTGGGTATCACTGGCTTCTCACGTGGGTATCACTGGCTTCTCACACGTGGGTATCACTGGCTTCTCACGTGGGTATCACTGGCTTCTCACACGTGGGTATCACTAGCTTCTCACACGTGGGTATCACTGGCTTCTCACGTGGGTATCACTGTCTTCTCACACGTGGGTATCACTGTCTTCTCACACGTGGGTATCACTGGCTTCTCACACGTGGGTATCACTAGCTTCTCACACGTGGGTATCACTGGCTTCTCACACGTGGGTATCACTGGCTTCTCACACGTGGGTATCACTAGCTTCTCACACGTGGGTATCACTGGCTTCTCACACGTGGGTATCACTAGCTTCTCACACGTGGGTATCACTGGCTTATCACACGTGGGTATCACTGGCTTCTCACACGTGGGTATCACTAGCTTATCACACGTGAGTATCACTGGCTTCTCACACGTGGGTATCACTAGCTTCTTACACGTGGGTATCACTGGCTTCTCACGCGTGGGTATCACTGGCTTCTCACACGTGGGTATCACTAGCTTATCACACGTGAGTATCACTGGCTTCTCACACGTGGGTATCACTAGCTTCTCACACGTGGGTATCACTGGCTTATCACACGTGGGTATCACTGGCTTCTCACACGTGGGTATCACTAGCTTATCACACGTGAGTATCACTGGCTTCTCACACGTGGGTATCACTGGCTTCTCACACGTGGGTATCACTGGCTTCTCACACGTGGGCATCACTAGCTTCTCACACGTGGGTATCACTGGCTTCTCACACGTGGGCATCACTGGCTTCTCACACGTGGGTATCACTGGCTTCTCACACGTGGGTATCACTGGTTTCTCACACGTGGGTATCACTGGCTTCTCACACGTGGGTATCACTAGCTTCTCACACGTGGCATTATATCCAGTCGTAATGAATGGCTTCTCGACGTGGCCCCCACAGGCCATTCACTATGACTCAAGGTGGACACTGCTTCCGAAAGCTGCAGCTCGACCGGAACATCATTGTGGAAAAAGACAAATTAAATCAGAATTATTATGCCTAAATGTAATAGTTGGCAAAACATCCCGCTGTTGCAGGACCCTCCTGAGACGGCATTGAGACTCAGCGACGCTATGGTAGGCTGATAAAGGTAAAGTCGCAGCCCTGCAATTGCTTGCTCATGACAGCTGGCGGAAGGGCCTTCACTAGAGGGGGGGGGGGGGGTGAAGCTCTAGAGATGCCTCACTCTTTTAGAGTTATTTTCGGCCTACTCTTTCACACTCACCAGATGTCCATGACGAGGTGGGAGTACTCACACTTTACCGCACCGCACGCTACCTGCCTCTCGACGAACTGCGGTGAGCACCAGTTTACGCTGCTGGGCGGGCACAAGCAGACGGAGGCGGGAGGGGGCGGGAGGGGAGATTTGAGGAAACTCTTCCCCATTGCTTCAAATGCCACGCCGGGAGAAGGACTCGAACCGGCGAGCTCTCGATCGCAAGTCGAGTGCGCTCACCATTCACCACCAGGGCAGCGTGCGCACGCAGAGGGCGACTCGCTGTGTGTGTGAGTGGGTAGCGGTGGTGGAGCGGTTACCGCGCTGCGCTACGAACCAAGCGACGCCCTAGGCCAGTCCTGGGCTTCGCCTAGGTCAATTTAGCCTCAAAAGTGTACCTGGTGCGGTAAAAACATCACCACTGTGGAAACAAGGGCGAACGGGCGTGGTGCTGGTCACCCACCCCATCGTGTGCCGTGTCGGCCTTCACAGGTGTTAGCTAACAGTCTATACGGGGGATCTTTGTGTTTATTGAGAAAAGGAACCCTGCGATCATCGCCGGCCGATTGACTGCTCTGTGCTCGTAATTGGGGGGGCAGACCCGCGTGCGTGCGTACCCATTGATCAGTCTGCAGAGATGCTGGGTTCTCTCACCGTCATGCCTTGAACAGAGAGAGAGGGCGTTATGGGTAATCGATAACACGGGAGAGGCAGACGCGTGTCGCCCTCGTAAGAGTGAGCCAAGACCAGATACATTGGAACTAATCAACTCATCAATATACAGACTGTTCAAGGGTCGTCAGTGTTAGAATATGGGGTGGGGGGGGGGGGTTTACCGGAGCTCGTCAGTGAGGCATGCCTCGATACAGTTTGTCCAGAACGGTGCAGGAGTTGATGCGGGTCCTTGTGCTCATTTGAGCTCATCAGTCAGCCATGGCCAGAGACAGACCGCCAATTGAATTTTAGAGCAATAATTAGATTTCTCATATTCATTCGGGATCGTCAGTGAGTCATGCCCAGCGACAGGATCTCGGGCTCCTAACGAGGGCCTGGAGATCGTGACGTCACTGCCACTCCACGTGCGGTCACTCGCGATGACGCGGTCCGGCTGATGCTGTTGCTGCTGCTGTTGATGTTGTTGGTTTTGCTGCTGCTGATCGTGTTGATGACGTTGTTTATTAATCCTTTCAGCATGTCATCTGCACGCTGTGCAGGACCACCTCTTGATAGCAAATAAAGCGAAGGAGGAGGAGACGTCACCGATGGCACGGACCCTTGTCACGGTGAGCGAGCGCGTCAAAGAGGGATCGATCCACGGCGCTGGGTCCACATCGGAGTGCCGTCGTTGCTGCTGCTGCTCTTGTGTTAGTGCTGCTGCTATGGTGGTGTTGTCCCTGCCGCTGATCCTGCTGTTGTTGTTTTATTGCGGCTGCTGTTGTTCCTGTGCGGTTGCTCCTGTTGCTGTTGATGCTGCTGCTATTGTTGTTGTATTGTCGCTGCTGCTTCTGTTGTTATTACTGTTGGTTTTGATGTTACTGCAGTTACCGGTGCCGTGGATGCTGTCGCTGCTGTTATTGCTCTCTGGATGCTACGGATGCTGCTGATGGTAATGCTGCTGCTGATGTCGTTGTTTTCCACGCGTCTCTGGGTGTGAAGGCGTTCTCCAGGCAGACGGCACTGAACCCCAGATCCTTCCCGGGTCCCCCCTTGGCCCCCCTTCCCCACTCCCCATTGTGGGGGGGGGGGGGCGTTCTCGGCTCCCGACGCCGAACCCACCAATTAACGAGCGCACTGCCAATTAATAGGAGCACGTGGTGCCGGTAATTGGGTCCTCCAGGCAAGAAAACAGTTCCGTGGCGGAAGCGATTAATTGTAGGTGACAAAGCGTCCCTCGGCTCCGTATCTACATGTCGTCGCGTGCGGGTCACGTGACCGTGAAGTGGACCTAGCCTGGCACAAGAAGGGATGATGTCACCATCTCTAGATCGATATTAATTTTTAAATGTCAACCTGCTCCCACATCCTGGAACTCCCTTCCCCCAGACCCCCGTGCTATTAGTCCCTGTTAAAGTTCAGGCTGAAGACGTCACTCTCCTCCTGCCTTTGACTGACTGCCTCTCTCTCTCTGCGGAATAAACAGTCCACTGTTTATGTGCAGAATCTTAAGCGTCGCTAACATTTAGAAGAGATATACATCTGCATTGCATGGCGTACGGAAAGAGAAGGGCATGTAAAAGAGAGAGACAGGGCGAGGTTATGGAGAGACGGGGCGAGGTTAGGGAGAGACAGGGCGAGGTTATGGAGAGACAGGGCGAGGTTAGGGAGAGACAGGGCGAGGTTATGGAGGGACAGGGCGAGGTTAGGGAGAGACAGGGCGAAGTTAGGGAGAGACAGGGCGAGGTTATGGAGGGAGAGGGCGAGGTTAGGGAGAGACAGGGCGAGGTTAGGGAGAGACAGGGCGAGGTTAGGGAGAGAGGGCGAGGTTATGGAGAGACAGGGCGAGGTTAGGGAGAGACAGGACGAGGTTAGGGAGAGAGAGGGCGAGGTTAGGGAGAGAGAGGGCGAGGTTAGGGAGAGACAGGACGAGGTTAGGAAGAGAGAGGGCGAGGTTAGGGAGAGAGGGCGAGGTTAGGGAGAGACAGGGCGAGGTTAGGGAGAGACAGGACGAGGTTAGGGAGAGAGAGGGCGAGGTTAGGGAGAGAGAGGGCGAGGTTAGGGAGAGACAGGACGAGGTTAGGGAGAGAGAGGGCGAGGTTAGGGAGAGAGAGGGCGAGGTTAGGGAGAGAGAGGGCGAGGTTAGGGAGAGACAGGACGAGGTTAGGAAGAGAGAGGGCGAGGTTATGGAGAGACAGGGCGAGGTTAGGGAGAGAGAGGCGAGGTTAGGGAGAGAGGCGAGGTTAAGGAGAGACAGGGCGAGGTTATGGAGAGACAGGGCGAGGTTAGGGAGAGAGAGCCGAGGTTAGGGAGAGCGAGGCGAGGTTAGGGAGAGACAGGGCGAGGTTAGGGAGAGACAGGGCGAGGTTAGGGAGAGACAGGGGGAGGTTAGGGAGAGAGAGGCGAGGTTAGGGAGAGAGAGGCGAGGTTAGGGAGAGACAGGGCGAGGTTATGGAGGGACAGGGCGAGGTTAGGGAGAAACAGGAGGAGGTTATGGAGAGAGGCGAGGTTATGGAGAGACAGGGCGAGGTTATGGAGAGAGGCGAGGTTAGGGAGAGACAGGGCGAGGTTATGGAGAGAGGCGAGGTTAGGGAGAGAGGCGAGGTTAGGGAGAGAGAGGGCGAGACGGAGAGGCGAGCGGCGATATTCACTCTCCATTAATAGAGGCCATGAGACTAACGTCGATTATAGCGTCAGGACGAATGTAGGTCACCGGCGTTGCTAAAGTGACATCATTGTCTAGGTGAGACATCCGTGTTACTACGGTGAACTTATCTCGTACCGTACGGAGCCAATCGGAGGTGTTTATCACAGCCACAGCCATCGTGATGACATGACCGGACAGCTATCACAGTCATCTCGGTACTGCTGCAAGTATCACTGCTGCAAGTATCACACTGCTGCAAGTATCACTGCTGCAAGTATCACACTACGGCAAGTATCACACTGCTGCAAGTTTCACTGCTGCAAGTTTCACTGCTGCAGGTATCACTGCTGCAAGTATCACTGCTGCAAGTTTCACTGCTGCAAGTATCACACTGCTGCAAGGATCACACTGCTGCAAGTTTCACACTGCTGCAAGTACCACACTGCTGCAAGTATCACACCGCTGCAAGTTTCACTGCTGCAAGTTTCACTGCTGCAGGTATCACTGCTGCAAGTATCACTGCTGCAAGTATCACACTGCTGCAAGTTTCACTGCTGCAAGTATCACACTGCTGCAAGTTTCACTGCTGCAAAGTATCACTGCTGCAAGTATCACTGCTGCAGGTATCACTGATGCAAGTATCACTGCTGCAAGTATCACTGCTGCAAGTATCACTTTGCTGCAAGTATCACGCTGCTGCAAGTATCACACCGCTGCAAGTATCACTGTTGCAAGTATCACTGTTGCAAGTATCACTGTTGCAAGTATCACTGTTGCAAGTATCACACTGCTGCAAGTATCACACTGCTGCAAGTATCACTGTTGCAAGTATCACTGTTGCAAGTATCGCACTGCTGCAAGTATCACACTGCTGCAAGTATCACTGTTGCAAGTATCACTGTTGCAAGTATTACATTGCTGCAAGTATCACACTCCTGCAGCTATCACATTGCTGCAGCTATCAAAATCACTGCTGGACTCGTCACCTGCAATATGAATGCAATGAGGCCATGGGGCCCGTGGGAATGGGGACTGGGAGAGGGGGTGCTGGGGAGGGGTGCTGGGGGAGGGGGGCTGGGGGCTGTGGGGGGGGCCTGGGGGAGTGGGTCTGGGGGCTGTGGGGGGGGGGGGGCCGTGTGTGTGTGGGGGGGGGGGGGGCTGCACTGTAATTCGTGTTTAATCCGAGGGGGCCGTGGGCCTGCACAGCGCGCGGTCCAACGGCGTGACACAAACACAACGGTGTGACACAAACACAGCGGCGTGACACAAACACAGCGGCGTGACACAAACACAACGTGACACAAACACAACGGTGTGACACAAACACAGCGGCGTGACACAAACACAACGTGACACAAACACAACGTGACACAAACACAACGTGACACAAACACAACGTGACACAAATACAGCGTGACACAAACACAACGGTGTGACACAAACACAGCGTGACACAAACACAACGGTGTGACACAAACACAACGTGACACAAACACAACGGTGTGACACAAACACAGCGGCGTGACACAAACACAACGTGACACAAACACAACGTGACACAAACACAACGTGACACAAACACAACGGTGTGACACAAACACAACGTGACACAAACACAACGTGACACAAACACAACGGTGTGACACAAACACAGCGGCGTGACACAAACACAACGGTGTGACACAAACACAACGTGACACAAACACAACGTGACACAAACACAACATGACACAAACACAACGGTATGACACAAACACAACGGTATGACACAAACACAACGGCGTGACACAAACACAACGTGACACAAACACGTGACACAAACACAACGGTGTGACACAAACACAACGTGACACAAACACAACGGCGTGACACAAACACAACGTGACACAAACACAACGGCGTGACACAAACACAACGTGACACAAACACAACGTGACACAAACACAACGGTGTGACACAAACACAACGTGACACAAACACAACGTGACACAAACACAGCGTGACACAAACACAACGGTGTGACACAAACACAACGTGACACAAACACAACGGTGTGACACAAACACAACGTGACACAAACACAGCGGCGCGACACAAACACAACGTGACACAAACACAACGTGACAAACACAACGTGACACAAACACAACGGTGTGACACAAACACAACGTGACACAAACACAACGGTGTGACACAAACACAACGTGACACAAACACAACGTGACACAAACACAACGGTGTGACACAAACACAACGTGACACAAACACAACGTGACACAAACACAACGGTGTGACACAAACACAACGTGACAAAACACAACGTGACACAAACACAACGTGACAAACACAACGTGACACAAACACAACGTGACACAAACACAACGGTGTGACACAAACACAACGTGACACAAACACAACGTGACACAAACACAACGGTGTGACACAAACACAGCGGCGTGACACAAACACAACGGTGTGACACAAACACAACGTGACACAAACACAACGTGACACAAACACAACATGACACAAACACAACGGTATGACACAAACACAACGTGACACAAACACAACGGTGTGACACAAACACAACGTGACACAAACACAACGTGACACAAACACAACGGTGTGACACAAACACAGCGGCGTGACACAAACACAGCGGCGTGACACAAACACAACGTGACACAAACACAACGTGACACAAATACAGCGTGACACAAACACAACGGTGTGACACAAACACAACGTGACACAAACACAACGGTGTGACACAAACACAACGTGACACAAACACAGCGGCGTGACACAAACACAACGTGACACAAACACAACGTGACAAACACAACGTGACACAAACACAACGGTGTGACACAAACACAACGTGACACAAACACAACGGTGTGACACAAACACAACGTGACACAAACACAACGTGACACAAACACAACGGTGTGACACAAACACAACGTGACACAAACACAACGTGACACAAACACAACGGTGTGACACAAACACAACGTGACAAACACAACGTGACACAAACACAACGTGACAAACACAACGTGACACAAACACAACGTGACACAAACACAACGGTGTGACACAAACACAACGTGACACAAACACAACGTGACACAAACACAACGGTGTGACACAAACACAGCGGCGTGACACAAACACAACGGTGTGACACAAACACAACGTGACACAAACACAACGTGACACAAACACAACATGACACAAACACAACGGTATGACACAAACACAACGTGACACAAACACAACGGTGTGACACAAACACAACGTGACACAAACACAACGTGACACAAACACAACGGTGTGACACAAACACAGCGGCGTGACACAAACACAACGGTGTGACACAAACACAACGTGACACAAACACAACGTGACACAAACACAACATGACACAAACACAACGGTATGACACAAACACAACGGCGTGACACAAACACAACGTGACACAAACACGTGACACAAACACAACGGTGTGACACAAACACAACGGTGTGACACAAACACAACGTGACACAAACACAACGGCGTGACACAAACACAACGTGACACAAACACAACGGCGTGACACAAACACAACGTGACACAAACACAACGGCGTGACACAAACACAACGTGACACAAACACAACGTGACACAAACACAACGGCGTGACACAAACATAACGTGACACAAACACAACGTGACACAAACACAACGGTGTGACACAAACAACGGTGTGACACAAACACAACGTGACACAAACACAACGTGACACAAACACAACGGTGTGACACAAACACAACGTGACACAAACACAACGGTGTGACACAAACACAACGGTGTGACACAAACACAACGGTGTGACACAAACACAACGTGACACAAACACAACGTGACACAAACACACCTCGCCGCGCCCACCGCTGTCTGGGGCTCGCGGAGCCCCGGGGCGTTTGCGCTCCGTGTCGGTGAGCGTCGTTGTCCCGCGCCGCGCACACGGGGAGAGACAAAGGAGGCGGAGATGAATTATGCATCAGGGGCTGCCACGTGGCTCTCTGTCTGTAGCCCCCCCCCTCCCCCAGGGAAGTCTGGGCCCAGCTCCGCCACTCATCCACGTTCTAAAAACTCCCAGGGCCCACGGCGGTTCGTCGATCAGAGACGCCGAGTCTGCACCGCTGAGATCCTGGGTTCAAAGCCGGGTGTCAGCTGCCCGTGATAAAGCCGGGATCTCAAATGCCGTGAGCTGATGGTCTCAGTCACCAAGGACTCCCATGGAGACTCAGTCCCGTCGACTGCCCGCCCCCAAACCCCGCTATCTAGGGGATGGGGTTCAGTAACTAATGAAGCCCTTCCCAGGTCCCCCACGGACACCGCTCGCGACGCTCAGTGCGAGGCTGCGTGATAGGTGCTGGTGGTCCCCAGTGAGACCATACAGGTTTCCCTCGTCCGTGGCCGCTCGCCCCGGTTCTAACCGCGCGTGGGCTGCTGGGGTTGATGCTTGCGAGGTGCCGGGGTCCGCGCCGCCCCGGGTGCAGTTACACAGAACAAGAACATCGCGATGTCCGCCGTCATCGCTGATAGACGGAGCCCCCGAGAAGGAGGAGGTTCACCTATCGAAGGGAGGAGGTGGTGGACGAGGGAAGGACGGATGAAGAGTCGGGTTAGGAAGGAGGAGGAATGACGGTGAAGAGGAATGAGGAGGACAAGGAATGAGTCAGGGGGACTGCGGAGGAGGAGGGACGGGGAGATGTAGGAGGGATGATGATGGTGGGGAGTAGCGATGGTAGGAGGGGAGCGGGAAGGGGGTGTCTGGAACAGGAGTCCGTGTAACGATTCAACGCTCGCGCTCCGGGCGCACGCACGGGCGGGCACGGCGACCAGCGGGCACCGCGCGACCAGCGGGCACGGCGACCAGCGGGCACGGCGACCAGCGGGCACCGCGACCAGCGGGCACGGCGATGACGCGAGACCAACTCGTGGACCTGCGTCCGGGCATTGTCCATAACCGCTGTACGTGTCGTCGGCTGTCACCAGTCCTGTCAGTCCCGGGTGCACTGTCACCCGCACTGCCTCATCACCTTGCACTGTTGTTCGTCTCGCTCTGCCTACTTTCACTTCCACCATTGTGTCTGCAAAGACAAAATCTTAAATAAAAATCTTTAAAAAAATAGAAAATATAAATCGGTTCCTTCCCGCACGGTCGTGCCACGCATCGATTTCAATCGACGCGCAATCGACGCGGAATCGGTGACGCGGCCATCCCTGCCCCCACCCCCACCCACACAGCAGCACCCACAGGTGAGGAGTTCCTCTCTCTTCTTTATTCACCCGGCGCGACCCCGATGCTCCTCACATCGATCAGCACACCGCGCGCCGTGCGTGACGAGGAGAAATCACGGGGAGGGGGGGGGGGTGATCTCTCGTGGTTGTGGATGATCGCACGTGGTTGTGGATGATCGCACGTGGTTGTGGATGCTTGCACGTGATTGTGAATGATCGCTCGTGGTTGTGGATGATCGCTCGTGATTGTGGATGATCGCTCGTGGTGGAGAATGATTGCACGTGGTTATGAATGATCGCACGTGGTTGTAGATGATCGCTCGTGGTTGTGGATGATCCCACGTGGTAATGGATGATCGCACGTGGTTGTGGATGATTGATCGTGGTTGTGGATGATCGCTCGTGGTTGTGGATGATCGCTCGTGGTTGTGGATGATTGATCGTGGTTGTAGATGATCGCACGTGGTTGTGGATGATTGCTCGAGGTGGAGAATGATTGCACGTGGTTGTGAATGATCGCACGTGGTTGTGAATGATCGCACGTGGTTGTGGATGATCGCTCGTGGTTGTGGATGATTGATCGAGGTGGAGAATGATTGCACGTGGTCATGACGTCTTTAAGTAGCTATAGTGGTTCGCCTCGCGATTGGGAAGCGGGGTCTGGGCGAGTGGTTATTGCTTTAAGACAAGCGTTACACGCACGTGTTACAAGACGCGTATCATCATCATCATCATCATCCTTACCATCATCACCATTACCATCACCATGACTACAATCAACAGAACCATCATCATCATTACAACCACCATCAGCGCAATCACCATCAATATCTTCAATACAACCGCTATCTTGACTACTAACACTATTACCATCATCATCAGCAACAGTTGTAGCAGCACGACCATCATCAGTAGCAGTATGATGATTACCCTGATGCATTGTTTTGTGCCATGTGTACTCTGTACTCCGCTTGTGTGCAGTGTGTCGAGTATTCGCTCTGTGCTATGCTGCGATGTGCGTGCTGTATTTATGCAGTGTGTACCAAGGCCGCAATTCTAATAGATATGCTCAAAATGTCTCCCCCAATATATTGCTATAAAAAATATTTGTTTATATGATTGTGGTTATTGGTGTACTTTATAAATCCCTAATCTTTGTGCCATTACATACAATGAAATATGAAAAGGTAAAAAAGAAAAAAACATAGCAATGTAATACAATCCACTATTAGACATTATTGTTAAAAATAAATAAAAAGTCCATCCTATGTGTTAGTGAATTTTTAAATATTTTGTGCAGGAAATGGCAGGAAATTCGTTTTAAAATTGGATTTTTTTGGGGGGGGACCCCAGACCCCCTGGAAGATTTGGTTTCCCCCCCAATGTTGACTCCATGGCTACGGCCTTGATGTGTACTATGTGTGTTGTGTTTCATCAGCGCTATGATTAGTAAGTGTACTGCTTGTGCGGTGTGTGACGTGTACTGTCTGTGCTGTGTGTGACGTGTACTGTCTGTGCTGTGTGCTATGTTAACAACGCTGAGCCCCAACACGCCGACTCTCACGCCCGAACGGAGATCCTCTTCATAGGGATCTTCTCGGGTCTCGGGGGACGCGACCTCCCTCGTCAGAGGGGGTTTTCAACCCCGGACACACGCACGGGAGGTCCCTGTGTCTGTACAAACCCCCGTAACACCAATACGAGACCCCCGCGATGATGAAGTTTGTCCGAAAAACAAGGGGGTGGGGGTTCTAGCCACGGGGGGGAAGGGCAGATGAGAGCGATTCGTGGGTCCCTTAGAGATCCCTGTTACACAGAGACCACGTGTCCCCGTGGAGATAGCAGCGGTATCTTTAGGCTGCACGGGTCCCGGGTTCTCCTGGATCCGCCACGCGACCAAGTCGCTCTCAAATGCATCGGAGGCAACAGCTTTGTCCACATCTGAGCGAGCATTTGCGCAACAGGAGGAAAATAAATGTTCGCGTTATTTGTGCTGATCGCAGCGACCAAGCCGTGTCGACTGCGATCAGTCGAGGCGAGCGACTGCCCGCTCAGATGTGGGCGAAACGTCCGCGACATGAGGGTTCACCCCAAACCCCGCAGCTGCCCTCTCCGGATGCCTCGCCGTGACAGCTCCAGCGACGTCACCGCATTCACAACGAGCCCCGCGCCATTCCGATCTCCCCGGCGGGGATTGCAAAATCTGGATCGCGAGTCGATAATCGATTATTATTTTTGTTACATCGCGGTTAATGTAGCGGCCTCTAGCGGCTGCAGGAGACGCACGAAGCCACGGTGCGCACAGAGAGCGCGACAAGGGGTGGCGTCTCCACGTCAGCGCGCTACCCTGATGACGCGACAATACGGAGAACGACCGCGGGACGTGACGGCGGAGAGAGCCGCGCGCGTTGCGAGGCCCACGGCCAATGAGCCCGCAGAGTCGTCGCCTCTCGGGCAGCCGAGCAAGCGTCGAGCCTGCTCAGTACTCAGTGGAAGGGGAACACATCGTGCAAGGCTGGTCGCTGTAGGCCGCAACGCTCCTCCCCGCCTTCACCAAACCCGCACCTGCAGGGCGTGGGGAGGCCCTCATCCAGCAGTGGAGCGACGAAAGGGGCTGCACGAGCACCGCGTGTCGCGAGGCGCCGTTCCGCTCGCGTGGCGCTGAGGCCACGTGCCTGGCTGCTCTCATCACGTGGGGGGCGGGGGCTTAGCCAGTGGTGGGAATGGGACGTTCCCACGACAGTGACCAGTCTGACCATGGCACACACAAACACACGCCGTTAAATTATCGAAAAGTGCTGATTCTAGTTTTCTTCTATCGACCGGAGGACTGTGGTGATTGGCTGAATCGCCCCAACTCAACCCGTCATCCCTCCCATCCGCCATGGATCGCGGCTGCCCAGGTTTTGAACTCGTGTGTTTTCCACACTAAACGTCCCCGTGTTCACCCCTCCAGGGCACCTCGCGTCGACTCGTCTCAGTCCAAGCAAAGTGCTTCACGCCACAAGCACACGGCTCGTCGTGTCCTCTGATTCCTCCACCCGTCACCGGGTGTCAAACCTAAACTTCCCAGCTCCGAAAACTCCCTCCCGTCCTCCCACGTGGTGACACCAGGGCTTGCAGGTAGCCAGTGAACCCCAGGGAGCGGTGGGGAACGCGGAGGAGGTAGGAGAGAAGATCGAAGGTCAGAATCCACTTGTTGCTGATCACTGCTCCAGTTCCTTCCGACCATTCCGGCAACAAACTTTTCCGATGTCTCCATCACCGCCAGCCAGGGATGCGGCGAATCGCCCACGCGATGCGACGCCACGCAATGGGACGCGATGCGACGGGATGCAATGTGATGCGATGATGTGAGCCCGTGGTCAGGAAGCGTCTCCTGGGCTCATGTCGGGAAACTCTCCCTCCTCACAATCATTCCTCCTCCCAGAATCAAAACCTCGTCTCGCAGTCAAAACCTCGTCTCGCGGGTCATCTCAAGGGTCCCCTCAGTCGCAGCTCCGCGGATCCCTGCTTTGGACCCCGATGGGACAGGGGGGTCTCCACGGGGTGGCCGCGGCGAGGAAGCGGTGGAGGAGGAGGGGACCCCAGGAAGAGCAACTCCTCCTCCTCCTCGGGCTCTCCGCATATCATCACGTGGCTTCAGGGTCTCCACAGTGGCGAGCGGCGCTTGCTGCTGCTGCGGCCCCGGCCCCGGCCCCAGGCCAGCGCCCCCGTTGGCCGCCGCATCGATGGCCGACGAGTAGAGGTCGCGCAGGCGGATGAGGCGCGTGTCGCGGTCTCGGCGCTCGTGCAGCACCGCGTTGGCGCAGATGAACACGAAGATCCCCACTCCCATCACGAGCGGTCCCACCACCTTCATGCGCTCGGCGCTCAGCATCTGCCCCGCAAGCCAGCGCAGGCTGCGCGCTGCGGGGAGTTCCTCGGCGCTGCCCCGCTGCCCCTTCTCGCCGCGGACCCCGTGAAAGCCTCGCGCCCGGTCCCTGGCGGCGGTGCCGTTTTCTCGACTCGCCCCCGCCGCGACTCCGGCGGCGGCGGCGGCGTCGTCCTTGGGGTCGGCGTCAGAGTCCGCAGACGACGGCGGAGATGGAGGCGGCCAGTACCCGAGCACCGCCAGGGCGATGCCCAGGGCCAGCACCAGCAGCCCCAGCAGGGCCACCAGCCCGGCCAGGGACACGAGGCGCAGGCGGCCTCGCACCAGCACCACGTCGCGACCCTCGCGCTTTCTCTTGCGGCGCCGCCGTCGCCGTCGGCGCTGGCGGCGCGTGGAGCCGGGGTCGCCTTCGGGGTCCAGGCCCCGCATGGCCTCCTGCTTCCGCGTGGCCGCGGCGAGACCGCGGATGAGGCCGCCCGTGGCGATCATGGCCGGCATCGGTGGAGGAGCGGCGGCCCTGGCTGGAGAGCAGCGCGAGTGGAGAGCGAGAGCCGCGCGGGAGGAGAGATGACAGAGGGAGGGAGAGTAGAGAGAAAGGGAGGGAGGGAAGACAGCGGGGAGAAGAATAGAAGAGAGAGAGAGAGAAAAAACAGGGACGCGAGATGAGAGGAGAGGAAAGATGACAGAAGAGAGAAGAAGCGAGAGAGAGGCGATGGAGGAGAGAGATAGGAGAGGGAGAGGGGAGGACGGGGAGAGGTGCGGCGCGGACGGTGGATGTGAAACGCGGGAGGGTGGAGGAGAGCCGAGGGAGATGGGAGGAGGGAGCCGACACGAGGCGAAGAAACGTTTAGGATGAAAATTGAGATAAATTGACGCAGAGGCAACAGCAAAAGCAGCAGCAGAAGCAGCAACAGCAGCAGGGAGACTTTTAAACAAAACGCAGGGAGCACGCAAATCACAGCTCACACACTCGGGGAGAGGGGAGGCAGGTACAGTGTGCGATGATGGGGATGATGGTGATGATGGAGGTGATGGTGATGAGTGTCCAAGAGTTGTGACGACACGGCCCGGAGCGCCGCTTAATCACAGCTCGCGCGTCAGATCACAGAATTGTTGGCCAAAATAAATAAATAAATATCGCCGCACGACACGGCCGCTCGCAATCAGAGGACGCAGGGTCGCTTCCCGCACACGCCGCTGGAGCGGCTGGTGCCCTGTTTGTCCGTGGGCCATCGCAACGGCGAGAGCAGCAGCAACGGGACGATGATAAGAAGAGATGGAGCATCTCCTGGAGAGGGTCGCGGCTCCAAGGCGGGAGGGAGGAGCGGGAGGCGGGGGGCTTGTATCCCTCGCTTCATTTGCCTCCCTCCGCCCCTCTCTACATCTCCCTCTCTCCCTCCTGTGTTCCCTTGCATCCCTCCTCCTCCCCTCGCTTGCTCCGCGGCCGTGAAGCGGATGGAGCCAGGCAGAAATGCAGCTCCGATCTCGATCGAATCACTCCACCAGCCCTCCTCCCCTTCACCTCCCTCTCCTAATTGTGGCCCTTCCCCCACAAGCGACACAGACCCCTCCATCAGCGATGGAGCCCAGCAGCAGGGTTCGCAACACAGCGATTCAGATCGATCTTCTATTTAAAGCCACGATTCCTTCCATCACACGGGCACCACAGACGGGAGCCACTGCGGTGTAGGGCAGAGTCAAGGTCGGGATAAAATCACGGTTAGATTCGGGTTAGGTCGTGGTTGGGCGAGCGGTGTAGGAAAAAGGTCAGCATGCGTGATGAACGAATGATAGAGATACGAGTCGGCCCAAGAGGTTGGCACTGGCTCTAGCATCGGCTGTTACCAACTATCGGGTGCGTGCAGCGTTTTGCGGCATGGCGTGCGCTTGCGGGGTTGAGTAGGCTCCAGGAAATGATGAAACACTCCGTTCCGCACCTGACAGTGACGGGGTCTGCCTCGACCTCAGTGACCTCGCGCGCGCGTAGCCCGTGTGTGTATCCCTGGCGACCAGAGTTTGATTCCCGCTCATGGGCAACACCAGACCCGGACCTCCCCTACGTCAACTCAGCCAGAAATGAGTAACTGGTGGGATGTGCACACATCGCTACTCAAGAGATAAAGGCAGTCAGGCGCGGTGCTGGCCAACCACACCCTCGTGTGCCGTGGCGGCCTTCATAAGTACTCGCTAACAGTACTTCTTTCCCCAAAAGTCTGTTAAGGCTATATAATAATAATTAGCTATGCCACCTATCAGCTGTGCCACATTCGAACTCAGCTGTCACCTATCTCACCTGCGCTTCTCCATCACACATCAGCTGTGCTACGTTCTATATCAGCTGTCACTCAGCTGTCACCTCTTATCGCAACTGTCACCAGTTATCTCAGCTGTGCTGCTATTTCTTCAAACATTATCAGCTGTGCCACCTTCTATCTCAGCTGTCACTCAGCTAAGCCACCTCTCCCTACTCCATTGCCCCCCAACCCCGCACCCTATGGGACCCCTCCCCGCCGCGGCGAGGGGCCCTGGCACGACCGGGCAAGCAGGAGCCGTACCTGGACCGCGGCTCCCCGCGCCATGTCTCCTCTCCTCCGCGAGCTCCGGGAAAGTGACTCTCCTCTCGCACACCTGTACTAGCCACGCCCGCAGCTGTGTGGCCCCACCCACACCTGTAGTAGCCACGCCCGCAGCTGTGTGGCCCCACCCACACCTGTACTAGCCACGCCTGCAGATGTGTGGCCCCACCCACACTTATACTAGCCACACCCGCAGATGTAGCCCCACCCACACCTGTACTAGCCACGCCCGCAGATGTGGCCCCACCCACACCTGAACTAGCCACGCCCGCGGCTGTGTGGCCCCACTCACACCTGTACTAGCCACGCCCGCAGCTGTGTCGCCCCACCCACACCTGTACTAGCCACGCCCGCGGCTGTGTGGCCCCACTCACACCTGTACTAGCCACGCCCGCAGATGTGTGGCCCCACCCACCTGTACTAGCCACGCCCGCAGATGTGTGGCCCCACCCACACCTGTACTAGCCCCACCCACACCTGTACTAGCCACGCCCGCAGATGTGTGGCCCCACCCACACCTGTACTAGCCACACCCGCAGCTGTGTGGCCCCACCCACACCTGTACTAGCCACACCCGCAGATGTGTGGCCCCACCCACACCTGTACTAGCCACGCCCGCAGATGTGTGGCCCCACCCACACCTGTACTAGCCCCACCCACACCTGTACTAGCCACGCCCGCAGATGTCTGGCCCCACCCACACCTGTACTAGCCACACCCGCAGCTGTGGCCCCACCCACACCTGTACTAGCCACGCCCGCAGATGTGTGGCCCCACCCACACCTGTACTAGCCACGCCCGCAGATGTGTGGCCCCACCCACACCTGTACTAGCCACGCCCGCAGCTGTGTGGCCCCACCCACACCTGTACTAGCCACGCCTGCAGATGTGTGGCCCCACCCACACTTGTACTAGCCACACCCGCAGATGTAGCCCCACCCACACCTGTACTAGCCACGCCCGCAGATGTGGCCCCACCCACACCTGAACTAGCCACGCCCGCAGCTGTGTGGCCCCATCCACACCTGTACTAGCCACGCCCGCAGATGTAGCCCCACCCACACCTGTACTAGCCACGCCTGCGCGACCTCGCCCACACATGTCCTGAGCACGCGGCATGCCCACCAACATCCCTTCGACGTCGGTCCCGCGGATCCCTCACGCACATGTGGAAGAGAGGGCATTCTCTCTTCCGCGTGTCACTTGCGGTTCAAACACTAAACCATTGACCATAAAATGTCGCATTGTCCCAAATATACATTTGAAGGCGGTGGGTATATGAGCGAGTTGGTAAGTGGATGAAAGTGAGAGAATAAGTGGGTGAGTGTATGTGGAAAATTCACCAAACTATCAAAGCACTAAGCTTTGAATATTTAATCGGCGATCTTCAATGGCCGTACGAAATCATCATCATACGCCAGCCGTGACCATACCCACCATACGCCAGCCCAGGCGTTCCCCCAAAGCTCTCCAACCTGCCTGAGCCACGCCCTCACACCATTTGGCTTCACGTGGAATTTCCCAAGTGGCAAGCAAATTGAGCACCTGCGATATTCACCGCACGTTCATCCCGAGCTCTCTCTCTCTCTAAAGTCGCAATGCTCGGTGTTCTATATTTACCCGGCTACACAGCCTTCGTCAACCCGTCACGGCCGGTGCTGCGACATTGCAGGGCGCGTCACTAAACCACGACGCCGCTTGGCGTCGGTCACTTTCAGCAGCCTGCCGACGACTACAGGTGGCGTGGACATCACGACGGCGCTTGTGCCATGCTTGGCGAGGCCACGTGAAGTGTCGAAGGGCCGTTGTCAGGTCACGGAGCATACAGAGGCGCCGTGGGTTGACTGAGATGACTGGTAGATGCATCAGCTGTGCTCCACTCTTTGCCAAATTTTAGCGTTTTATCCCCCCAGCGCTCTGCTCGTTGTTGTGAGCGTCGCCCATCTGCTGGAGGGCGACTGCGTCCACCTCAGCAGCATCCTTCACGAACCTCCTCCAGAGGCCGCTCTTTACACCAATGGTACCAGTCATCGGCAAGTCCAATCAGCTCCACATCCTTTTGCACCACATAAGTCCACCTCTTCTCTAGCCGCGCCCGTTTAGCCCCATCTATCCAGTCGAACAGAATCTGGGTCAAGGAGCCCGCATGGTTGGGCATGCGGGCTCCATGACTCAACAGCAACTTCCACCATCAACCGCAGACAACTCGCTTACAACTGAAGCGCCACGACCTCACAATGCACATCATTACCACAACCCAAACACCACGACTCACTTAAATTTCACCACTGCCAACACAACTACAAATGTCGAAATCAATAACACGACAATCTTAGACTCCATAACCACCAACGTAAAACCAACAAAACCACGCGGAACAGCTCACCGTGCACACCATCACCACACAAACACCACAACCACGAGACTCGTTTTTAAAAACTGTATTAAGATATTTGGGGACAAAAAAACACAACAGCGTCGTTTTAGATCCCGCGTCTCCTCAGAGGCGTCGTGCACAGGGCACGCGTGGGGAAATCGATTCCCTTTGTTCCGTCAAGCGTTGCTTCACTCTGTGAACGGGAGACAAAGCTGCAAGATTTGTTTAAAATGACGCCTTCGTGTAACAGGACGAGGACACCTTGGTACAGGTGGTAAGGGGGCTCTTACAAAGTTCGGCAGTGGATTGTAAAGGTGATTACAACGCCATAGGGTGGCCTTCATCCAGCAATGGATAATTGACAAAGGGCTGTAAATATAATTTAAATCACGCAAGTGTAAAGCACAGTCAATCCAGCGCTGGATGGCCTCCCCATTTCGTCAACTGTGATGGCTGTTTGACCATACTTCCAAGTTGGTCAGCGTGGAGAGGGCCCAGGGCCTGATGAGACATTTGTCAGCGATGTTGCCCACGGTTGAGAATCAATACCAGAGTCGCCAGGGTCAAAGTGCAGTGCACCATCCCCATTATCATTATGCAAGGAAACATGAATACTAAATCCAATTCTTGAAATGCACGTTATTTGAAACCAAGGAGCTGCAGTGGTG